ACTCTGAATTCATGCTGTATTTATATGCATGTGGGTGTATCAATAAAAGACATAAACAGTAATGATACTTAATTTGGAGATAATTAAATGCACAGCTTGTAACTTCATAGAATTTCACATTAATGAGGTATGTTTTTAATATACTTATCATAAAAGGCCAAGTATAATTTGTAATTAAAGGCTACATAAAGTTTTTTCAAGTTGGGAAATTATAATATATTGCGGTCCCCAATGATGAAAAATTGCGTCAGTAAACGAAAACATCTCACGAACGAAGTCATGAGGGGTGCAATGAACGTCCACCAAATCATTAGACCCCAAATGGAGGTAAACCAAATCGACTGCGGCAAACACAAACAGGTTCTCGTACTGGCACCGATGCCATAGACCAGTCAGGGTTTGCACTATACAAGCACCTTGACTATTCAGCCATCTTGACATGGAAAAAGTTACACAAATGTGAATTGAATATAACCAATTACGTCGGAATACAAAGTAAAAGATGCAAGAAGATATAAGAAAACAAAACCCAACACTGTATTCTGTCGCTAAATTTCGCTAAATAGGTTTTCTAAGCTGTACATACTATTAGAGGATGTTTTGTGGCTTTGTCAGATCTAACATCTGATGCAAAAAGAAGCCAAATATTGATAAAAAGTTTAAAACCCTTTACATGCCCTTTAACTCTGATTTTAGACTGTATTTTAGAGGTATTTAAAATTATACCATGTAAAACACTGCATATTTTGAATTTAACATGTTCACCTGTCATAACTTTCAAAATATAGAAGAATCATTGACATTTCTTAATTTTTTCATATTTAAGAAAGTTACAGGCTGTCAATTATCACAATATCTTGTCTGTTGTGAAGTATTTTCCTAAGAACCATTGAGAGAAGCATTAATTAAAGTTTATTGACAACTGTAGCAGAATCTAAACAGTTTTATAGGTTATGTGTAATTGGAACCTGTTTATTTAGACACTGAAGACAATATTATTAGAATGGAGACAAGGGTCCTTCACATTGGCTCAATGATTTTCCTGTTTGACGCAATAATTAAATGGATAGATTTGCCATCCGTTCAACCAATCTTACCTTAGTCCCAGAAAGGGTAATTTTTGCTAAGCTAATCAGTAATAGTATTCACAGCTCACCGCCGAAATTTGAGCCTTCAACTTCGAGTGTATCTGGAAGTTTAACAAAAAAGACTTGTCCTTTAAAGGATGGTTATAGAATCTAAAAAGAAGTTAAATATGACATGAAACTTTGTGGTTATAGAAGTTAATTTAGGAAAATAATCTAAAAGGAAATTGATTTGTTACTACTGCTGTTTTCTAGACTCAAGCATTCAATGTACCAATGTTTCCTTTTCTGCACTCTTGAGTTGACTGTGTCTTACACTGTTCTTTATGGGATGTGCTGTAGAACAGTCAATAAGAATTTGAAGTCATTGCTTGGTTTTGTCTAAGTGTGGTGGCTCTTATCCCAGCCTAGGGACCTGAAATAGGTCATTTTTTCTTCATTATTTGAGTCGACCCAGCTGGAAATGAATAATTCTAAAGCAAAATTCTGGTAAACAAGATCCACATGAAAGAAAATTGTTATATGAAAACAATGGTTATTTTCTTCCAGTATCTGATAGATAATACAATTCCAGTGTGACCTCACCTTGAGGGTTTTGACTTGAAAGAAAGTAAACCTTCTTCAGACTCTCTATAGATCTAATTATTATCAGATCACCAGAGCCGAACCCTCAGATGACCTTCAACAATATTGTCTACAATAACTTAGTAACAGACAGGAAGTGCTGAGTAGTTCTGAATTAAGTACAATACACTTTGACATGGAATGAACAATTTCTTGGAAGAAAAAAATCTATAATGACTTTCCTTGAGAAAGTTGTTACAACAATGTTGAATAGAAACAGTATTATTCAACTTTAATAAGAAGATAAAGAAGAGGCTTTAGGGACTACAGGTCAATAAAGTTGTTTGAAAGTTTTAGTTGTTGGAAATACCAAGTCTGTCTCCTATTTCAAGTTTAAAGATATAACTGCCAGCAATATTATCAATGGCTGGTAAAAATCAGCATGTTTCAGACCAAATGAAATGACCCACATCTTCATCATATTCATTTTGACCACAAAGATACTCTCTGTAGCTTTGGACATTCAGGGTAGATTTTATGGAGCATGGCATAGATCTTTATTGGACTATTTTACACAATTAAAAGTAAAAGTATAGTATGTTTCTTAGCATTTGCCTGCCTCATTGATAACTTTAAGTGGAATTGCATGCATTTTGTGATAAAGTCAGCTATTTTTTTTTCAAATGTAAGTAAGATAGCCCAAGATCTAATTTCACAAAACCTAGAATTCAATGTCATATGACTTCATTCGAGATGGTTGCTCACGGCTATCTCAATATACAAGCTTGTTAGACACAACAAATTACAAATAAACTCAAGGTTGATAAGAAATAATCAAATATCATGATAATCAGGATTCTGCACTTGGCATGAAATTCTATTGACAATTTACACAGGATTCCACATTCATCTGACTTTCCCACACTTTTGATAATGAACGCCCAAGTTTTCTATCTATGATACTGTCTACAGTAATTTTATAATGAACTTTTGGAAGCTATACATCTATTTTTAACGTCCTTGATTCGATAACGAATATTTTCAGTTTATTTTTGGCACTAAATGGGTTTAGAATTAATGGTTTTAAATGTGGAAAGAAATTTGATTATAGTGTCATTATGATCTTGCCAAGGTTTGAAATATTTCGTGACCTAGTGTAGGCGTTTGATAATTCAATAAATATTGTAGATTTAAGTTCAGGTTTATTCCGATAAACAATAGTTCAAATATTGAGTTAGTCATATTTGCATTCAAACCAGACCTAGCTGAAATCTGTCATTGATTTGTATTGAAATTTACATGAACAGGATATCACATTCCATGATGCATCTAAACCCTTACAGAGAATCCGCACATCTCAAATTTAGTAATACACCATCATATGAACAGCAACCAATAATATGCTCTGGGAATGAAGAGAGTCGAAGAATAATAATGCAATACATTCACTTAAAATTACTCTTCAAGACGCCCGATGCCACTTTTCTTTCTGAAATACTTCCTCATATCAAAAGTTATGGAGCTGCTACCAATATATTGCAAATGTTTTTTGGATATCAGGTTTCATTTTGCAGTTCGGATCATTTTCTCTCTTTTTGTATTATTAGGCATAACTTTTCTTTGAAGAAAAAGACATCCTATCAAAGCAGGTCTTACATTCATTAAATACAGATTTTATCTAAGCTCTTGAAACTTGTATCCAAAGGTTTTTAAGTATTTCAATAAAATATGTTTAAACTAAAACAAAATTAAATATTTTACATTAAATTTTCCATTAGAACCATGAAATTTTCCACTTTTTCTTTTTGTGTGTGGGAGAGTTCAATAATTAATCCCAGTGTTTCTGTTTTTCAACAAAAATTCTAACCACGAATAGAGTAACAGTTTTTTCAACCAACGTCTCATGCATGTCAACCTTAAAATGTTCCTGTTGCCTACAGAAGAAGAGAGGCATAAACAAATCTCAGAAATATTCTGACAAGGTCAAGTATTGGAATGCAAAATAAGGAGGCGAAGTCTATTTTTATAACTTTGACAAATCTTTCACATCAAGAAATAGTTGACAGTAAAATGAATGTAATACATTTCAGGTCAGCTGATGAGAATAGAGGTTAATACAAGTTTTATTAAGACATATTAGAAAGTAGTTAAGTGCTCTGTCAACCCAAGTGAAAATCGATGTAGAATTCAATATCTACAAAAAAATCAGTAATGAGTAAAAAAAAGAACACGTCCATTGAAGTTATTTAATGACTTAACTAGGCTCTGACTCAGTCAACCATTAGTTATCAATGCTTCCATGCCAGATAGATTCGTCTTTATTTAGTCAGCACACGTAACTAAATCTGTCAAGTTAACATCATTAGAGTTGGATGTATATCAGTCTCAAGTAGTTTTTAGTATTGAATTTAAATGTATGAGCTAAGTTCAATACAAACTAGTCTCATCAATGAGAAATAAAACTCTAAATTATACACTGTTAGATCATTTTTTTAGTTGGCAATAATGTTTTAATTTTCTTACGCCTTAAAGGTAACATTCCTTGGTGATATTTTAAGATGAAAATAATATTCACTATAATTCAATTGATTTCTATGTATTTCTCATCTTTCCATCCTGAAAAATTGCTAACACTTTCTCTTACTAAGTCAAATTTTCCAAATGTAAAATTGATAATTGGTTCCCAATCACAGCCGTGCGGAACTGGAAACCGGAGCACCGGATTAACGGTTACTTTTACATAGTAAATATTCCGTGGGCTTGACTCAGCCCAATAGAAAGTTCGACTTCAAACATCTAAATTGGACATTACAAGAAAGTGTAAATAATAATATTGATGATCTCTGAATTTATGATCTGACATTTTCTTGCTGTGCATAAATATTTCTGCTCTAATATAATACATATATCAAATTTGTACCACCTACAAGTTTATAGTATTCATCAAAAAACTTCAATAAATATGGAAATTTGGTCACATTTCAATAATACTGGCACAAAATGGATTAATAATTGTTTGATATTTGTGATGATCTTGTCCAATTACTCAAGTCAATATGTCTAGCTTGGGAATCAATGGTTCAGTATTGACTATCTGGGCCTAAACATAGTTTGATGTCAGTAACATTTACTTACAGCTCAAGATCTGATACTGAGAGAATAGTTTGTTGACATTAGGACTGGAAAGAAGATACTTTCAAACATTTTCAGACATTTGATAATAGTAAAATAGCCCTAAGCCCTTCAACAAAATCAGGAATGATTGTAGAATATTTGGCATTGGCAGTCTTGGGTTAGTGGGTTAGTGTGCAGGTGATCCCGATTGTTTGACCTTGCCTTAAGGTCAACCCACTACCTAGCCTAAACATCAAACCAATACCTAGTCTAAATGTCAAACCAATACCTAGCCTAAACGATAAACCAATACCTAGCCTTAAGGTCAAACCAATACCTAGCCTAAACGATAAACCAATACCTAGCCTTAAGGTCAAACCAATACCTAGCCTAAACGTCAAACCAATACCTAGCCTAAACGTCAAACCACTACCTAGCCTAAACATCAAACCAATACCAAGCCTAAATGTCAAACCAATACCTAGCCTAAATGTCAAACCAATACCTAGCCTAAATGTCAAACAAAAACCTAGCCTAAACGTCAAACCAATACCAAGCCCTAAGGTCAAACCAAAACCTGGCCTTAAGATCAAACCAATACCTAGCCTTAAGGTCAAACCAATACCTAGCCTAAACGTCAAACCAATACCTAGCCTTAAGGTCAAACCAATACCTAGCCTTAAGGTCAAACCAATACCTAGCCTTGAGGTCAACCCAATACCTGGCCTTAACGTCAAACCAATACCTAGCCTTAACGTCAACCCAATAGAATACCAGAAACATTACGTGCTCACTACATTCCAGTAGCTCTGCAGAATGCTGCAAGAGGCGCCCCACTCCGTATAAAAGATTCCCAAGTGTGCACTGACTACACGTTCAGATAATTTGACATGAAAAATCTTAAGATGTTCTGTCAAAAGATCAGACATCGGACAGATGAAGGATTAACAATTCTTTAGGCTTTTAGTCAGTCTGAAAGTTCTTCATATTAATCTTACATTCAATGATTCTATTGTTAGGTTCAGACTTGAAATGATAATACCTGCTTTACAATGTCAAGTAATTTAATGTCCTCTTACAGTCTGGGAATTCCTTCAATAAATACCATAATTTATCTAAAAGTAACATGTGTTTGTTCAGAAACAGACTTCTGAAATTTACGACTTTTTTTTTTATGTCAACCATGGTTTTCCAAGAAAAAAAAAAAAAAAAAATTATTTTTCTCTGAGTTTGCAACCAGACGTTATGTGTTATATTTGTTTCCATTACCTTGCCTTAAGGTCAACCAGACGTTATGTGTTATACTTGTTTCCAATACCTAGCCTTAAGGTCAACCAGACGTTATGTGTTATACTTGTTTCCAATACCTAGCCTTAAGGTCAACCAGACGTTATGTGTTATACTTGTTTCCAATACCTAGCCTTAAGGTCAACCAGACGTTATGTGTTATACTTGTTTCCAATACCTAGCCTTAAGGTCAACCAGACGTTATGTGTTATATTTGTTTCCATTACCTTGCCTTAAGGTCAACCAGACGTTATGTGTTATACTTGTTTCCAATACCTAGCCTTAAGGTCAACCAGACGTTATGTGTTATATTTGTTTCCAATACCTAGCCTTAAGGTCAACCAGACGTTATGTGTTATATTTGTTTCCATTACCTTGCCTTAAGGTCAACCAGACATTATGTGTTATATTTGTTTCCAATACCTAGCCTTAAGGTCAACCAGACGTTATGTGTTATACTTGTTTCCAATACCTAGCCTTAAGGTCAACCAGACGTTATGTGTTATATTTGTTTCCATTACCTTGCCTTAAGGTCAACCAGACATTATGTGTTATATTTGTTTCCAATACCTAGCCTTAAGGTCAACCAGACGTTATGTGTTATACTTGTTTCCAATACCTAGCCTTAAGGTCAACCAGACGTTATGTGTTATATTTGTTTCCATTACCTTGCCTTAAGGTCAACCAGACGTTATGTGTTATATTTGATTCCATTACCTTGCCTTAAGGTCAACCAGACGTTATGTGTTATATTTGTTTCCATTACCTTGCCTTAAGGTCAACCAGACGTTATGTGTTATATTTGTTTCCAATACCTAGCCTTAAGGTCAACCAGACGTTATGTGTTATATTTGTTTCCAATACCTAGCCTTAAGGTCAACCAGACGTTATGTGTTATACTTGTTTCCAATACCTAGCCTTAAGGTCAACCAGACGTTATGTGTTATACTTATTTCCTCAAGAACTTATTAATTCAGATTTGAACTATTATGTTGTTAAGACATTTAACTTAGGATGATTTCAGTGTTCCAGTCATCTGATTGGTCAATCAATCAAATTGTTTTTATTTTACTTCTATTATTATCAAATCAAATGATTGCATGTCTAGATTTCATCTTCGTGAAGTTTTCAGGATTTACTCTGTTGCTGTGTACTTTATATTAATTATTTTAAGTTTAAGTTTTCTTTGCTCATATCAGAAAAAGCATTTTTTTTCAAAGAGTTTGGTTAATCTGTTCAACCACAAGTAGCAGTCAGTAAAATTATATTAATTGTATACGGATTCACTAATTTACTGGAGTCCTGTTGCAAAGACTATGTTAAAATCCTATTCCACCTGGAAACCCAACCTCACCAGCTACAACCCTACACTTTTCAATATTCAGTGTAAACATGATTCTGGTGTATAATGAAGTTACAGACAGACTCCAATAACAACAGTAACATTATTATTTCTTTACTAAATCTCTTTACCATAACATTTATTTCTTAATGTAATATAAATAGTTATTCTTATAAAATAGTTATTTTTACAAACTTTTCTTCTAACAAACTTAAAGAATGAAACAAAGAGCCATTTGTTACATAATAACAACTTAGGTTCACAAGGATCCTTTCTACCAGCTGGTCCTTGGCCAAACCACAGGGAAGTGATGTTTCCCTGATTAGCCGTACCCATTTACAGCTGAGGTCACCTGTTCTCATAGCTAATCAAGGTTAGAACAACACAACCCTTAATTATGCAACGTAACCAAGCAAATGACGTCACATTCTATCCCTAGTTTGTCTTTTGAGTTTAATAAACAACCATAGTTTTTTTCTCAAATCCAGTGATATTATACTTACACAGAGTTATGCCAGATTATAACAATTAGTTCTGTTGATATATATTAGTCATGGGATATTTGAGGTTCACGGCCTTTAGCACAACATCATTGTCACACACTTTTACCCAGAATATTGTCAAACAGGCTTTAGAAACCGTTTTTGTGTCTTCATCTCAATTCACCTCATAGTTAGACATATTGGAAAACTTTGATGGTGTAAAATGTAATTAATTTTGCATGACTGTAAGATTAAAAGACAAAACATATCAAATATCTATTATTGCTCATATTTCTGTTTTCCTGTAATCCACTGTACTGTTAATTTGCCTGTATTAACAGCTCTTAATTATTCAGTTTCTGACAATACATAAACCAAGTACTAAAGATCCAAACCACAAAAACAAAACCTAAAATCTGTAACAACATATAGACAAAATATTCGTAGCAGCTAATGAAGTTTTCACATGAGGAAGTATATCAATCATAAGTGAGTAAGTATTTCATAATGAAAAGTGGTATCATGTGTGTAGAAGAGTAAGCATAACACATATATATCAACAGCACTGTCTACAAAGTAAACCATGGAAAGCAGCCGTAATCATATTAGGATACAAGGTCAATGTGGCTTAAATAGGTTTTCCATTCAATATAAACACCATAATAAAACAATATAATTATACGACAGGATGGTAGTGAGTTCAGGCCATTACAGGATTAAGGATAAGTCTTGTCGATTATCTCCAGTAATAGCTCAATATATTACTCTGTTTTAACATTACTGTCATTTAACTGATGGTGTTTGGTCAGTATTTATTACCGGATAGCATGTTGCAATGTAGTGATTTCCCATTGAGAGTTTATAATTACTAAACAGGGCTTTAGGTGAAATGATAGAGTGTTAACTCTACTGTGTTCTACTTTTCTCTCACTAATTGGGTTAATAAAGAAGAACAATGACATGCAGGGTGCCCTGGAAGAAATTTTGATAGAACAATAGCAATAGTCTACTATTTTCAATTCACAACTGGCACAACCCCTGTTTATTAATTGACAAGAAGCTCTTGCCACTGTCAGGCCAACATCATTAACAGCAGAAAATCTTGTAAAATATAAGAATCTGAAGGACAGAAGATCTGGGCCTATTGAACCCCTAACTCTCTTGATTCACTTAGACACTTCTCTGATCCTATTAAATCTGGTAAGATTTAAGCAACATGAATACTGATAAAAGATTTCACTATCCTAATTTCTACTAGAACAGCAGAGTGTAAAACTCCTTTTTAAAATAAGGAGGCATCAATTTCAAGTCCTATTGATATTTCATTCAATCTGTCCAACCTTGTATTAGAATGAATGAGATTTAAAGATTGAAATCCAGCTGTTAGTGTGCTATAATGAAATGGGCTTGTCTGGGAAGTAATGAATGATTCCAGCATCAAATCTATAGGAATCTGTGTAGTATTTTGAGGATAAAGTGAAAAGAAAAAAAACTAATGTCTTCAATCTATTTTGTGTAAAGATCTAATTGAGTAGATGAGTAATCTCCTACGACTGTACACCACATCGATCTGTAAATTTGAGAGGTTCAGAGTTTTTTAAACCTGAAACCCCTTCATTCAATATATTTTGTCAAAGGAACTGGTATGAAAAAGTGTCTAGATGCTCAGGAAAAACCATAAAAGCTATATAAATTCCTTTGTAATCACATATCAAATGAGAAAGGTAATGCCACCATTCAGGCAAATTTACAACATAGCATACACCCTGGCATTGCTTGACTTGAAAAGGTCAATCAGGAGCAAAAGGTTAGACATAGTATTCTAATGATATATAGTGCCTGTTTTCTCAACTAAGTCACTGATAATCAGTGAAGAGCAGAACAATATGAGAAAAACTACATTTTTCTTGATAAACAAGAGAATAACAGCATTGAAATGTCGGAAGTTATCTATTAAAGTAATTGTTATTCCATAAAATAGTCTCCAGTTATACATCATTTAATGATTGAAGTGCAAAATATTAAAGTATCTTATAAAACAATTGATCAGTGACGTAGTGGGGATTTCATTGACATGGGGGCCATCCCAGCATCCCTTTGTTTATCTTAGAAGGAACTAGTTATGGTGGAGAGACATGGTTACCCCTCACTGGAAAATTTTCATATGTTACAAACGTTAATCAATCTAACACAATTTTGGAAAAGAAAGTAGAATAATTTTGCTTTTTTGTGGTCTTAGTAGAAGGGGGAGGAGGGTGGGTGAGTATTAGAGGGGCGCAGCTGTTATTCATCCAACACATAGTGATGAAAGTTCTAATTTGACAGAAATTCTCCTACTGATATCAGACATAATGTTAATATATGAATGTCAATATTAATATCAGTTTACAAACACTGTCCTTTATTGATATTGACAGATTTTATATTGCAACAGTAATTGCTGATTTAACACATTGTCATTACTTGATGGACAGTATAGTATGACTGTAACAATTTCACCATCAGCATGCAACATTACCTTAAAGGGACAGATGCCATTTTTCACTAATCATACCTTAGTCTGGAATTTATTAGCTAGATTAATCAGTCATCGTCGGACCATGCATGTCCAGAATCTGAAACATAATTTCTTATAACCATCTACTTCATAGCAAATTGTTTGTATATGTTGCAACTTCCATCAGAATGTCTTTGCAATGTTAGATAAACCATGTACTCTGACAATCTGAGCAATCCGACATCTTTGCTTAAAGGAATATTCCACTGTTTTTGTAGGTCTAAAAAAAATGTTGTTCTAATTTGTGAAAACTATACACCAAAATCATTAGAAATGTATCCCATAACTAAAAATCCAGCTGTTGATTTTTTAACGCCAAAAATTTTTTTAGAAGTATTTTCAGGTATAATTTACAATGTTTTTGATAATAAAAATGGTTTACAAAAAAAGCAGGAAGCCTCTTTAATTGTGGGACTTTGCTTTCAGCAAAGTCCCAGTTTGTTATCGAAATGTCAATTCTTTTTTTTTTTTTTTTTTTTTTTTTTTTTTCGAAATTTACACACCTTCCTGAGCTTAGACTACAATAGTTGCAGCAACCATTCAATATTCACGAACCTTAGATATAGGCGACGATGTGCATAAATATATTTTGGATCTTTTTTGCAAAACCGGAAGTGCCACAGTTCAATATGAGCAAGAATAGTTAATCGGCTCTAGAAGTCGTATTTTTCGGTCGATTTTCTTTGGGTTTGCATTTTTGGAATCTACTGGCAAAATCTGAAAGAATAGCAGTTTCAAAATTTCAAAATTCGAAAATTTGTCGCAGACATTTTTTTTGCCAAATTTTGCATTTTTTTCATTTTTTTTGCTTTTTGTCTGATTAATCTGAAAAAAATTGAGCAAAGACAGTTTAAGAAAGTAAACAAAATGGTACAGTAAAATTTTCAATTTCACTTCCGGTTTAAACAGGAAATCGATGTTCACTTCCGGT